GAAACCTGTCAAATTACCATAAAGTATAGTACACACAGTATACTCTGCATACACTAGAACAGGGGTCCTCAACCTACGGCACACGTGCCAAATGTGGCACGTGAGCCGTAGTTTTTTTTTTTTTTAATAGCAGGCTGCGGGTCCCGTCCGCCGCTGAGCCCGCTGTCGGTCTGGGGTTCCGTTCACTCAGCTGGCAGTGGGCTGAGTGGGGCCGGCAGTGGGCTGAGCAGGCCAGCGGCCGGGACCCCGGCTGGCAGGAGCTGGAGGATGGAACCCCAGACTGGCAGCGGGCTCAGCAGCGGCCGGGACCCGCAGCCTGCCATTAAAAAAAAATTGGCTCACGTCCCACCTTTGGCATGCGTGCCGCTGTTGAGGACCCCTGTTCTAGTGTATACTGTGTGTACTGTACTTTGGTAATTTTCACTATAAGTGATTTTCCTCTTACGCGCTGACTTAGAACCTAACCCCTGCATAAGATGTAACTCCACTGTTGTGTAAAAAAATTTTGGGGCACCGCTTTTTGGCGCCCCAGGCAGCTGCCTAGTTTGCCTAGTGGTTACACTGGCCCTGATGATATAGATTTTGTTATAAGTGCATTGATGCACTCTAATACAAATTATTAGATCTAAAATGTAATCAGCAAAATATTGCTCATTTTTCATTGAGTTAAGGTCCACAGATCAGAACTTCATGGAGGTGGAGCATGCCTCTTCTGCCAGTGACTGGCCGGTCTGGTTCTGCCACCAAGCTGTAAGCCAGCTGACATACCCATTGTATGGATCTATGGACCTTATTACTTTGAAGAAAGGACATTTATAGCTAAACGCAGATATATTTTCCTATTACTTTCTCATAATGTGATTACTTTTGCTTCATGGGTGAAGGCTGCATGGTGAGCCTTTTGCTGCTACACATGCTCAGGACACTTAGCTGCAAAAAGTAACGGAAAGTAATTCATGTGACCTTTCTGCCTGAAAAGTCACAGTTGCTCTAATGAACTACTTAGAACAATCTGAGTCCATTCACCTGGTTATAGAATCCATTACTTTATCCACTTTGCATTTTCTTCCAGATTCTTTCTTTCCAGGATGGCTGCCATATAACCTCTTTTTCATTTAAATCAGAACATGAAATTATTTTCTCTCTGATGTGGCCTTTGTTTTTCTCTCTTTGGTATGTCTTTGCAATATAGACCTCCTCCAACTCAGCTCAGTGTGTTCTGGCACTTCATATCTCTTACCTCCCAAAGCAGTGTTCTGACAAGAGTTTGTACTACACATAGTATTTTTAGCTTGAGTTGGGATTGATGGGCTGTTATGGTTTACATGGGTTTACAACACATGGGATTATTTTAAGGTTTTGTGTTACAACAAAGATGAAAAACATCATCATAGTGACTGTGTTTTGCATGTTTTCCAGCCAAACTCGTAAATCCATCATTGGTAGGCATGGGGAGGGAGGCATAAAACTCAGCCAAGTTTCACCCCAAAGTCTCACCAACCTCAGCTAACCTTTCAGGGAGCATGGGCCGAATCTCAGGTTTTGTTGCAAAAGGTTTGCACAAATGTAATCCTGGCTTTAAATTGTATCCAAAGCCTGACATTGGGAAGTCTGTAGCCATTAATTAGGCATATTTACTTTTTATGTCTCTGTTGAATTCATGGCCACTGGAGGCCTTATCTCTAGAGCTGGTCAAATAATGTGACTAGTAATATATGTTGCAAATTTAGACATGTTTAAATTCAGCAGATGCAAATAATTTGCATTTATTATTCAATAACTCTATAGTTCAGCAAATAATATTCTGTGAATAATATTGCTTGCAAAATTTGCCATTTTCATGAACTAATTAATTGTAAATACTTTTACTTGTGATTCAGATCCTCCTCTCCACACCTTTTTTGTATAACGTAGAAACTTACTCCAATCATTGTGACTTCAAGTTCAAGCAGCCACTAAATTGTGATTGTTATTACCCTTATTGATACAATGCAGAAATTCATTTCCACCAAGAGATTGTGATGCCATAAATACAGGACTGGGTTTGTGGCAAGATCAAGCAGAAGATACTGGGCAATGGTTCTCTGCCAAGCACTAATAACCAAAATGGTACCAAAAGGAATATCGAGAGAGACTGGCCACATACCGGAAACTACTTTATGTATAAATATTCATAGATTGTATTTTACATTGTAGAGTTTGCTGTAGTGTGAAATTACCTCTTTAAAGGTCCTCAGTCTCCAGACTTCCTTTGATCCTCATAAAGACCAGATTATGGTCTACTGACCACACCATGGTAATGTGTACTGCACAGGTGCCTAGCTAGCTACTAAATCATTCTCTCACAATGCTTCTGCCAGCTGTTGAGAGCTTCTTCCCTCAGGATCCCGCCCATATTTAAAGGGGATTTAGTCTAGGTAAAACATTTTTAAAATTTCCTTGTATGCCAACATATTGGTGATATGCAGTGGCATGAGGGATGGGGACTGGAAGCTATAAATGTACGGTGTGTTCATTAAACGAGATACTACCAACTGAATAGGGTACCAGTCTGAGGATGTGGGAGAAGGGAAAGATTTGTAATTTTCCTCTCACCCTACCTGATTTCCAGGACATGCACTGAAAGCGTTGCGGGCTCTGAGCTCCTCTTCTATCGACGTACAGTGCACTCTATGTTTACAGGGAGTAAAGAGATTCATTTAGCGTATGGCTGAGCTGGATTGCCATCGTTGGCTCTGTTGACCTTTATTGTAAGTTGCCTTGGGATATTTGTATGCTTAGGCAAGCCTATAAATAGCTATAGTATGATGGGAGTGTTATTGCAGAAAAGCGCTTTGCAAAAACAGATTGTCATTTCATTTCCAGGGAGGGAGGGAGAAAGGTATGTGTTAGGCTTGCGAAAAGAAAGGAATTCCCCTCAACACACTACCACCCCCACAGCACTGACTGCTGAAGAAAGAACTTGTAAGATTTTTTCGGTTGTCACCAATCAGGCCATGCTGTCTTGATGTTTGCAGCCCTATAGCTTTAAGAAGCCTAAGTCCTGGAGCAGCCTGGTATTATGATAGCATGTGCTTCCACTTGAGGGATTAAAGTTCAGGGCTGACCTTACTTGCTGCGCTGGCAGGGGCTGGGGAGTGTATGGCGGAAGAGCACTCAGCCCTGGGGGGCTGGGAGTGCCTTTGGCTGATGCTTTGAATAACATTTGTGGCCTTTGCAGGGAATGCTATCCCTCCTAAGAGAATTTCAGTCACATGGGCCCCAAAGAGATGGGAGTGAAGTGAACGGGGAAAGAAATTGGAGTATATCCCTGGTGGAGCTCACCAAAAAAGGGGCAACATCTGAACCTTTCCTGCTCCCAAGGATTAGGGTGACCAGATCACCAAAGACAAATATCGGGACGCGGGGGGGGTGTGTGTGTGA